TCAGATGCATGTCTGGTAACGTGTAGCACTTTTTTACTTCATAGTTTGTTTCTGCAGCAAAATAGGGAAAGACAGCAAGGGAGAAATGAAGGGAGATGAGACAAGTCTGCATGATACTTTTCCCTCCTCTTCCAAACACCTTTCCACCTTCTACTCTGACACACAGTGTTCAACTTCTAAATCAAAGGAATTATTTTTTTGTATCGAATTGTAGAGATGCACTCAGCTAAGAATAAAGCAGTGACCTTCCAGTTGTCCCCTGAAATCACAGCCCAAGGCCCTATGTACTTTTGGTCTCAGCTACCTCAAATAATCAATTTCTTATGCATCCTAATATGGTTTAAAGGGAGCAGGAACACTGTCTCCAGCTGTTGCAGATCACCACTTACAATACTTCCAAATAACAGAAAACCCAATTCCCACTACATACACGATAAAGGGAGCATGTTTTTCCTTCGAACTAGACATCCAGTGGGAGGGTGGAATTCACAGTTCATAGTGGTAGTGACTCTGCGATGTTATCAGCAATCGAATTTTATTCTATCAAAGCCGATTCCTATCAGGGACACAAGATGTGTGCTGCCAGTATGTGTCTCTACCTAAGAAATGAGAGGTGTTATTTCTAGACATTTTCCCAGGACAGTGAGGCTATCTTGGTTTCAGTTCCTGCCTCATCCAAACACACTAACTTTACATTAAAATACCCTGACGCCAAGGAAAGACACTCTTGAACCTCTTTTGTGTCTCTGGAGCTGACGTATGTGAATTCACTCAACTCCAGTTAGAAAATCACTATTGAGCTGAACATATACAGAATTTTTTGGTCATCATTCCTTAAACAATATTTAGCAACTATTTACATAGCATTTGAGTTGTACTAGGTGACAGAAGTAATCTGCAGATGAGTAGGAGTATACCAAAGGTCATCTGTTATATGTAAATATTACATCATTTTGTACACGAGTCTTGAGCTTACACAGACTTTGGTATCTGAGCAGGAAGCACCCTTCTTGGAAATACCAACAAATAAGTTTATATCAATACCAGACCAACAGACCAAGACAGCCCTGTGACAGGGAGCAGATTTCGTTAGCTCTGAGATACAGATCACTTTAAATCAAAGAGAGAATTGTCTTCTCCCAAAGCACTAAAACAGGTATGCAATAAAGTCTAAAGCCCCTTCAGGGGAAAGAGCGATGAAAGGTGGTTAGGCAATTGCAGAATAGTTGCAGAGGGTTTCCAATAAGCCTGCAGGTTTTCCTCCACAGCCCCAGGGACAGGACCCACGGCCTTGCCCTGTGAAATAAACTTTGGTAGGCTGTCATCCCAACCCTTCACATTTAGCCTTCATAACACTCAGCAGGACAGACTTTTACAAATACGGAAGCATCATGGGCTATCAAATACCCCAAATGCAAATTCAATATATTTGAAACATTTTAACAAACACTCAGATTCTATTATGGGTGGTTGAAGTAGTTTACTCAGTTCAGTCCTGTACCTGAGAATATTTCTTTACTGTTCTCCTATCATCAGAGTCATTTTATTAAGTCCTTCTACATGCTGAGTTGGTAGAACAAAACAGTTATTTCCTAGGTTATTTGTGTTTTACTTGGTTGGCTGTGCCGCAGTTTCTAAAATTAAAGGGGTCTGTAATGCAGACTCAGAATTTTGTTAAATCATTGATTTCATCACTTATAAGAAGCAAACAGTGAAAAATCGTTTGGTTAATACCACCAGTACCTTCTGAGATATCTTATTCACTGAAATACCGTTTTGTAGACAAGTAATGCCCACTTGATGTTTATTTTTACTGTGAAGCTCTAGTTGCCCTGTTAATACTTCCTGACATTTTATTCAGCAATTCAGTCTACAAGCAGGCTTTGTCACAGATAACTCAAACAATGAATTAAAACCATTACCAGACTTTGAGTATGTGTGCCTTTTCATGATACAAATATTGGTTAATGACATCTACATTTAAGAGGAAATTTTGCATAGAAATAGAACTCTATGCAAAATCCTATGCGGACTGACTCGTAGTGCTAACTGATTACTAAGAAGCTTTCAGGAAAGCAAGCTCAGGTATTGGTTATGGACCCACACCCTATAGGATTTTAATTTAAATCTAATTTTTATGGCTCCTGTATGCTTATAATTGTCTGTATTTTGTGCTTGCTAGGTGTGTCTTGAGAGTTCTTGTTTATGTATGCATAATGGAGTGGTAAGATCTTAGCGCTGCTGCTAATCTCTCTTCCTTTGGTATCATCAGTGTAGACATTTTAAAATCCATAGTTAAGATCTCACCTGCCTGTTTCTACCCTGTGCTAAAAGAGACGTGGGGAAGTTTCTAAAACATCATGTATTGCAAATAATAGTGATCACATTTCAATATATCTTGTCACCTTGCTTCAAGAATTCACTCAGCCCTTTATTAGACAGTAAGGATTAACAAAAAAATTCGGTTTTAAAATCAAACTGATATCAGTCACCTCCAATTCAAATGAACTTGGATCTTGCAGTTCCTCCGGATCTCTCTCACTTTTACTAATTTTCATCTCATGCTTGCTTTGTGAACTAGATGTTTCCCCACATAAAGTCATCCACAAGCACTTTTTCCATCCTGAATCTCCTTCTCCTCCAGACTTTGGTAACAACTTAGCTAACTCAGCATTTCTTCAAATCTTGTTGCCATTTTCTTGAAAGGGAAATTTCTAGAGGATACAACTTTTCTCTTTGAATATGCTACAACATATTTTGGACACGATAAAGCAGCAGACAGCTTTTTAAATATTTATGCTCCCCACGCCACGTACACCAACTGTGTTTGCTCTCTTCAGTCCTTAATGTGCCGAGGAGAGAAGCCAAACAGTGGTGAGGAAAATACATCAGGAAACAACATGGGCCTGTGTAGTGTGTTCTCTCTGCAGATGTACCCTCACTCAGGCTAACGGGGTCCCGCCATTAACAGAGAAGATGGGAACAGTGCCCATTTATGAGCAAGTCAGCTAAGTCAGTGTTTATTTTAAAACTGTGGATCAAGTGAAAGAGCACAGGCTGTTGTCATATAATTCATTGGAAATACCCTGAGTAACGTGCACTGTGCACTGAACAGACACGAGAGTGTGTTTGGAAGAGGAAAGGTGAATAGGTAAATTCTGGGCAGAATCATGAAGCTACACAGATTAGCTCTGTTTTACATTTTTCTGAACAACAGGCTTCCCTCTCACCCACACAGCAGTGGGTTTTTGCCCTAGGAGTCATGCTGCTCTCAAACATAATCTTTAAAATAGGAAGCAAAATGATTCACACCCTCATGAGTTACAGTTAGTGGGACCTGATGTTGTTATTCCTTGGTAATGTCTCAATCCTGGCTATAAACTAGTACCACTTAAAAGATTCCGACTACTTGGTTTGAGGCAAATCCCAGAAATTGACGTTCCAATGAGCATCCAGGACTGAGAACAGCTGTAGTCAACATAATTATATTTTCACATCTTGGCACCTGTTTTGTAATATCCCTGTTTATTCAACAGTGGGCTGCAGAATGCATGAGCCAAGGCCATCTAGGGTCATCCTTTAAAATGTGTATGTGTGCATTCCTGTGTACTTTCCACAAAATGGAAATCATAACTGAATCCTTGAAGGTTGCAGTGTGGGTGAGGTAATGTGTGTGTGTGTGTGTGTGTGTGTGTGTGTGTGTGTATGTGTGTGTGTGTGTGTTTGAGAGAGAGAAAGAACAGAAAAAAACAGAAGAGAATGAGAGAAGGTGTGTGTACTAGAATCTTCACATTTAACAAAAAAAAGGGATTCTGATTCACTGTGAAATTGAACAACATCAATCTTAACAAATTCTATCCCAAAGTGGAAAATTTCAACTACTAGGAGAAGCTTTAAATCCCTCCATGATAATAGAAAATTGACCCTGGGATATGTGCATGCATTTTATATTTAATTTATATTATTTATTTAACAATTTATGCAATTTAAATTTTAACATAGTTCATTATTATGGAAATTGAAGAAGACCAGCTATGTATAAAAAGAAAAGGAAATTCCAACATAGGTGGCAGAATTGTCTCATTTAAAAAGTAAACACTGAGAGCTGGGACTAGAGGTTCCATTTGACCCAGCCATCCCTCTGCTCGGTATCTCTCCAAAAGAATTAAAAGAATCATACCACAGTAATATATGCGCAGCAATGTTTATAGCGGCACAGTTTGTAATAGCTAAAACTTGGAAACAGCCCATCTGCCCATCAGTTGGAAACTGGATAAAGAAGATGAGTTTTTTCTATAAAATGGAATACAACTCAGCCATAAAGAATGAGAAATTAGATTCATTCATAGGAAAATAGATACATATTGAGGATATACTCCTAAGTGAAATAAATAAGTCATGTGTAAATACCAAATAGTTTCTCTGGTATGAAAAACTATAATAGTACTTAAGATCCTAATGATATAATTGACCATGTGAAATAGGAAGAAAAGGGCTAAAGGTGTAGGGGAAGTGGGAAGGGTAGGGGAAAGGTAAGAAGGTAAAAGAAAAAAATATGACAAAACGAAAAAATGGAAATAAAGTGTTTGTAAAAGGGGTGGGAAGGAGGGGGTGAAGGGAGGGCAGGGGTAAGGGGAAAAAAATGAGATCCAAGACCTGTCATGTAAAGGTACAAGATCCCAATGATGGATGTTATTGTACTGTATACCTAAACTGTACCAATAAACTCAATTAATAAAAAATAAAAAATAAACACCTTAAAGAATGAGAATATAATGCATTTTTACTTATTATTTTTAAATAAATGTAAATATCCATGAATCTATGACCAGATAATGAAAGAAATTAATGTATGCAAAAATTGACAAGTTAGGGCGTTACAATGATTGTAAATATGGAACTTTGATATTTTTTTTCTCTCTCTCTCCCTCTTTCCCTCCCTCCCTCCTTTTCTCTCTCCCTATACTCTGGCCCTACTTCATCCCTCTTTCTCTGAATAGCATCAGATGAAGAAGAGCCAACTTCAGCAGGTAAAAAGTTCTTATATTGTAATTATTATCTCTATTTAATTTAATGCCTTTGATGAAAGAGACTCACATTTTAATTTTTTTAAGTTTTTTGACCAAAAATCTTGCATATTTTAATATCTTAAAAAATTTTAAGTGCTATGTCAGACTAAATCATGTTGATTAACATTTTCGAATAAAAAGAGAAGCAGTAAAAATGAACAGTTACTACAGGGGAAAGCATAGTAAAAATAGCCCATCAGCACGAAAGGACAAGGAAAATTGAAAGACTAGGATACTTAGAAGAATGCAGAACTATATGTATGAGAATTACAAAACAAAAAGAATTAAAAAAGGAAAACGGCAGAATAAATTCTCATAAATATCACTTTCTATGATAGAATAATAAATTATCAAACATGTAACTATCATGAATCATAATATTCAAATTTAAGGATACAATTTTGACTCAAACGCGCTTTTAGAAGATTTAATTTTTACAGTTACAGCTGAATGATCCTGCCTCCTGGCATCATAATTCTGTTACTCATCTCCTAAGCAGTGTTTATCACACTGCTAAGGCTTGAACTCAGTCTGTGATGCAGGCAGATAGCAGAGAACACTTCCAAGTGTTACTTCCACGGTGGTTGAAAGACAGTGGGACACATAATAAATGAAATGCTAGCAGGCTGGAAACAGGCACACTTACAAGTATGTGCGTGGGAAGGGTGTTCTTTCCATTGGCAATTAATTAAAGACCCAGAGTTGCAGATCGATACACGGGAGTGGTGGAGTCTAAGGGAGAGACAGGATTCTAAAGTGAAAAGAGCAGATATTAGCCCTGGTTAGATTCCTCCTTAGTAACAGAAGGAAAGCACAGTCCTGAGAGACAAGGGGAGGGATGACTATGGCAATTAATGGGCACAAGGGGCTTGCCAGTGGGCACGGAGTAGCGTGGTCCAGCAACTAAAACTCAAAGTCAAGGTAGGGTCATTTTAACTTACAGTCTTCACATACTCCAACAGACCCGACCTCATGAATTCCACCTCTCCAGAAAAAAACCAAGCAAAGATCTTACCTATAAGAATGAAATCAAAAGATCAAAAATTCAATGGAAGAAAGCAAATGGTTTCTGTACAGGATGTTTTTTGTTTAACTCCAATGATGCCATGCAGTATGGCGCATGAATGTCACACTGCATGGCATTAATTACAGTTATAGTCCCCTAGCAATGAAGTCAGAGATGCAGATCAATTCTTAACTGATGTTTCCTTTCACCATATCTCAAGTTTATTACCTAAATGATGGGATGATGGGGAATCCTTATCACTTCCTCCTTTTTAAGCTGTTACTGTGTGACCTCATTTTAGAGGCCTCACACTCATGTGACTCAATAGCAAACGTACCCATCACCGAGTGCCTTTTGTCTCCTTTCTGACTTTATTTTGTCCTGCCTGTGAACTTTGGTGTGTGTAGAAATGCTCAAATATTTCCTTCATATAGCTTATGTATTTATTTTTATTGCTCCTATTTGTAGTATATGCGGATTACATTAATCTTGGGGAACTGCTACACATGCATTTTGTATTTTGATCATTTTTACTCTCTCTTTTCTCATTCTTAGATAGTTTTGAATCTCTCCACAAATTCTACCTCTGTTTCTTTCCTTCTATCATTTTACTCTTAAAATCATGTATACTTTGGGTTCCTCATATAAGAGAGACCATGTGATATTTGTCCTTCTGTGCTTGAGTTGTTTCTCTTAGGATTATGGTCTTAGGACCCATCCACTTTCCAACCATTCGTTAAACGTATCCTTCCTTGTGGCTGGGTAGAATTTAGTTGTGTGTAGAGGTCACGTTTTCTTTATCGATTCACATACTGATAGTCATGTGTGGCATTTCCATGACTTAGCTGTTGTGAATTGTGCTGTTATAAACATAGTTATGGTTGCAAAATTGTAATTTGATGACTAACTTTTTGGGGAAGAAACCCAAGAAAGAAATAGTTGGAGCAAGTGGAATTTCTATCTTCATACTGATTTCCATGGTGTCTGTGCTAGTTTATGTGCCCACAAAAAATGTAGAAGGTTTTATTTGTTTTCCACCACCACCCCTCCAGCACTAGTTATTTGTTGAGTCCTTGGTCATAGCCCTCTTATTGAGGTAAAAGGAAATATCAGTGTTGTTTTGATTTGTTTCTCTAAATGCCAAAGATACTGAACATTTATTCATTTACTCAGTGGCCATTTGTACTTCTGAAAAGCATCTGTACATGTTATTTGCCCACTTTTTGATTATGTTTTTTTGTTTTGGAAAGTCTAATTTTTTGAGCCTGTATTTTCTAGATATTAATCCTCTGTTCAAGGAGCAGCTGGTAAAATTTTTATTCCCATTCTAGAGGTTGTCTCTCCAACATGTTTGTTTCTTTTGCTGCCAGGAAGCTTTTCAGCTTTATATATAGTTTTATTTGTTGATTCTTGCTAGTATTTCTTGTGAGTTTTGCTCAGAAATTTCTTGCCTAGTGCTTATGTCTTCAAGAAATTTACCTATTTTATCTTCTAGAAGATTCAGTATTTCTGTTTTTGTATATAGGTCTTTGATCCATTGTGGTTTCATTTTAGTACAGAGAGATACAAATCTATATTCATTCTTCTGCAGGAGGATAACCCATGTTCCCAGCACCATTTGTTAGAAAGACTGTGTCTTCTCCACCTTATGTTTCTGGCCCCTTTGTAAAAACCAGCTTATTGGAGGTTGATGGGGTTATTTCTGTATTCTCTATTTTATTTCAGTGATCAACATGTATGTTGTGTCATTAGTATTCTGTTTTATTATTATAATTTTGTAGTGTATTTTGAAATCCATTATTCTAGTGCTTTTCACTTTGTTCTTTTTGTTCAGGATTGCTTTGATCATTCTGGGTTTCTTATGATTCTGAATGAATTTTAGGATTTTTCTTATGATTCTGTGAAGAATAGTGTTGGTATTTTGATTGGAACTGCTTTAATCTGTATATTATTTTTGGTGGTAGAGCCATTTTGACAATATTGGTTCTACCATTTTCTAATGTCCTCATCAGTCTCTTTTATCATAGTATGATGCTTTTATTGTAAAGTTCATTTATTTTCTTTTCTCAAATTTAATTGAATTTTCTCTCAGGTGTCATTTTTTTCCCCAGCACCCACATTTTTCTAGCCAAGTTCAGTCTCATCCCTTTTATGTGGGTGCCCAACACCATGCTATACTGTCTTCCAATCAATTTTGGTTCCATTGCAAAATAATTACTCTGTTTTCTCACAGGTTGAAAATAAATCATAACCTAAAGTAAACTATAATTAAATACAATGATCCAGTGGTATTTTTAATTCTAAAGTTATTTTAATAACTTCTCAGCTTGCTAAGTTGTTTTGTCAAATTTAACTGAATATCTTTATCTCCAAGTATTCACCTTTGGGCAGTGTCCTATGAACATCAAAGTGTTCAAACATTAAAATGATATTTTTTGTTGTGATTTCACATTTTTAAAGTGTAACATGTACACTAAAGAAATACAGTATTCTAACTACTTAATTTCACATATAAATGATATTAACACTGAAAAAGTGATCATTTAGTAAAACAGATTCTTTTTCATTTCTTTTGTATAAGAATGTCAGTGAAAACTAAAAATTTTGTTTTATTTTTTTTTAAAAAGTAATCAAAACATATAGGCTAATTATGTTAACACTTTTGAGAAAATATGAGATTTGTGAAGAATTGGTTATAAAACCAATTTGAGTAATTATTTAAATGAAATTGTGGTTTTTTTTAGTGGTTGATTATGATCTCTTATACAAGATTTTTCAATACTTTTCTTAACTGAATATTTATAATTCTGTTCATGAGTATTATTCCATAATATTTATCAAACATGTATCTTTTATTTAGAACTGTTATCTATATTTGCTACATGATGAACGTTATTTGTTTTATTCTCATATTACCTCCTCAGAGAATTTATGCACAACTGTTTTTATCAAACTGAGATTCATTTTGGGGGCCTCCTTTAATTTGTCTTTCTTCCATGGGATTTTTCCATTCCATTTAAATTATCAATGAAATGTAATAATAAATTAATTCAAACTTCATGCCTCCACACAATTTCTTTTAGAGGTTCATTTACTTTTCCTTAAGGTTCACTGTATAACTGGATGATAACTCTTTCTAGAAAATGATCCCAACTGAAATAGCCTCCGCAAGGGCTAAGGAGTGGATGTGGACCGCAGCCTGGCCTATACTGTCAGAATTCTCAGCAGTGTTTGGACTTCCTAGCTGTGACTGGAATCACCCATTAAGTTCTCCTTAGAGCATCATGGGGCTTCTCTACTTTGCATCTGCAAACCTTTCCAAACTTCTTTTCCAAACCTTTTTCAAAATATTCTAAACCACTTGGCCAGCTAAAGTCACAGCAAAGGCCCCCTTTTTGTTAACCACTTTTCTGTGTCAGTCAGCTTTTTCAATGCTGATACCAAATACCCAACATCCACAAATTAAACGATGAAATGTTTTATTCAGCTCACAGTTTTAGTCCATAATTGGCTGACTCCAAAGCCTACGCATTATGGAGAAAGGGTGTCCCGGCCAGGAAGTAGAGTAAGTAAACAGCACCGGAGAGAAAGGGGCCATGGGAAAGATGCAGACCTCAAGATCGTCCTTTCAGGGCCTCCTGGACATACCTACAAGTGAGCTGTGCTAATCCTCCTGCCATATTTCACACCCAGCAAGTTTTTCATGAAGCTTAACATCAGCTGAGAAGAAGGGAAGAAGGAAAGACCCAGAGAGCTAGGGGCCTAGGAGCAAATACTGTTCCCAGAATGTGCTCCCAGAATACTCTCTTGTCACCCAGGCCCCACCTCACGATTCTGTCACCTTGCATTAATTCAGTTAAAGTATGGTTGGATTTGTGTATTAATCCACTGAGGAAGTAAAAGCCCTTGTGTTTCAATCACTTCCCAAAAGTTTGTCAGTAACCAGACCTTTAAT